TGCTGAACCAATCAATTGACAGCTATGCAAGAATGTCTTAAAATGTATCAAAATGCTCTATACACCGCTCCTTTGCCTAAAAAAGTTTTGGCTGTGAACACCACCACACCACCACTTGATTGCATGGCTGGCTCCCACTTATCACACACCTTCTGTCTCATTCTGGACCTAGTCACGAGTGGGGAAAGGATTGGAGGACATCAGTCCAAAGCATTGGAATAGATTGTCAGTAAGGAGAAACCTCCCTCTCCCACTCAGATCTTTGGTGCAACAGACCAACACACCTGTTCCTCTGGAATGCACTACTGTTTATTCATACAGGTCTGAAAGACATAAATGGCTGTATCATCAATCCGAAGTAAATAGCAGTATGGAACCAACAGACCAGGGTATTATTGTCTATCCTGAGCAAAGGGTTAGATCTTTTTCTTTTTTTGCCATCGAGTCACACAGCCAACTTATGGCGACCCTTGAGGGTTTCCAAGGCAAGAGACTTCCAGAGGTGGTTTGTCATTGCCTGCCTCTGTGCCTTTTTTCACCATCTGCATCTGAAGGGGCACTTTCGTCAAGCCTCGAAACAGAACACGGATGGATAGGCAGCATCTTCACAACATACCACTCCATAGTCTACTGCTGAACAGTTGCCATCTCTCCCACCCACCATCAGACAACACATTGGTCATCAATCACCACCCACCCAATGCTACAATGGACCTTTCTAGTGGATGCAATGTTTCCACACTAGACCTCTGCATAGAACATTTTTGCTGCCAAGCCAAAACTGACATGATCAAGAAACACCATATCTCACAACACAACCTCATCCATGTTGAAAGAAATGCAACAGCCCAGACATCATTATCAAAAGAAGCTGACAAAGAAAGAGCAGTTGTCATCATGGATGGATCAGATTACATTTAAGAAACCAAAAGACAACTCTCCAATACCACTTTCTACAGATGCTTATCCTTAGAACCCCACTCAGGAATACCAAAAGAACTAAACAAGATTATGAAGGAACTACACACATACATAGGAACCGATCTTTATGAACACACCACAAGAACCTTGAACAGGTATTTTTTAATCTTCTGCCCAAAATACACAAACCTGGTAATCCAGGATGTCCTACTGTCTCAGGCATAGGCGCCATCACTGCAGAGGTGTCTGGATATGTGGACACTACTCTCAGACCCTATGCTATCAATACCCCCAGTTATGCGCAAGACATCACAGTCTTCCTGAGAAAGGCACAATCTGTTAACTATCTTCCAGGAAATACTATTTTGGCCACCACGGATGTTGAGTCTCTGTATAGCAACATCCCCCACAATGATGGACTACAAACTACTACGAACACCATCTCAGACAGCACCATGGCCGACATTGCTACCAAGCTCTGTCAGTTGGTCCTCACCTGCAACCACTTCCGAATTAGTGCAGATTTATTCCTTCAGATCAATGGCACAGCCATAGGCACCCACATGGCACCACAATATGCCAACATTTTCATGGCTAACCTGGAACAGCTCCCATCTGTTAACACCCCTCTTGTACTTGAGATTTATTGATAACAGTTACTTCATTTGCACTCATGGGAAAGAAGCACTGGATAAATTTTACCAGGCAACTTCTACCCCCACCATCAACCTGACCAGGAACCAATCCATGCAAGAAATATCTTTTCTAGACACCACTGTATAAAAACATAACGGAAACACAAAAACCACCTCATACAGGAAATTTACTGACCACCAAACATATCTACATGCCTCCAGTCACCATCCTAAACATGACACCAAGGGATAACCTGCTACAAGATCCACTCAAACGAAACAACAGAACACCACTGGTGGTCAACTACAGCTCTCAGCTCAACCAGTTCAATACGACATTAACAACCAACAACCCATGCTGGTCAATGATACTCCCCTCTCACAGGCATTGGAAGGTAAACCTTTCTTGGTCTCAGACAACACCTTAAACAACTTCTCACCCACAGCAATACCCTTCCTAACATGGACACAGACTCTGGGACCCGGGCCTGCCACAAATCAAGATGCCAACTCTGTCCCCATATCCCCTCTGGCAACACAATAACTGGATCTAACAACACCGGCTGTACTAACTCAGGATCATTCAGGCAGCTCTGACTCTCAAAAGCTTATACTCTGAAAATCGTCTTGGTCTCTAAGGGGCTCCTGGAGTCAAATCTAACTGCCCCTGCATAGCAGCCCTGGACTGCCTCTGGTGGTCTCTCATCCAAACACCAACTAGGGCCGACCCTGATTACCTTCCAAGATCTGATGGGATTGGGGCATCCTGGGCTATCCAAGTCAGGGCTGTTTAGATCTACACCCCCTAATCTCCCCTTCCTGTTTTGGGTTGCTAAAGGGGTGATGGAAAAGAAGGAGGGTTTTACCCAATGGTCAGGAAAGCTCCGGACGATGACCGCAGGACCAAAAGACCTAGCCGGATTCATGGAACAGCTGGTGAGGTAACTCTAGGAAGAAGAAATTGGAAAGAGGAGTCAACACCTCTCGTTCTAGGTTCATATATTCCAAGAGTGGGCAGCCTTTCAACAGGGTCACAGAACAGCCCAGACACAGGCCGGAACAACAGCCAAATATTTTAGAGGCTCCCCACAAAGGCCTCAGAATCGGAGGGGAGAGAGTTTGTCACTCACCCAAGGTCTTCCTCTTGCCACTGTTGACCCAATTCTAAAGGGGCAGACAAGACTCCTTGTTGGCCGCTTCCCCCACCTCATTCTGAAGGCCGAGCATCCTGAGGCTTGCAAGAGTTTGGACAGGCTTCCCATTTCCCTGGTAATGCCAATTCCATCATCAACCTTGTCATATCTGGCTAGGATATTGGGTAAGGGTTGTTGGCACCTCTGTGGCATCATAGAGTAGGGTGACTGAACAGATGGGAGAGCGGGGGCCCATACCCCCCCCACCACCACAATTTAATTAGGCATTGCCAGAGTGGGCCCAGGAAAGCTTTTGTGGAAGCCGTATTATCGTTCTGTATCCTACAGCTACATATCTGACACTTATCTTACACATGTTTAGGAACCCACACTCTCCCATCTGTGTTGCCCTCTGGATTCTATACACTAATCAAAGCTGGGTCCTACCCAATCCGGGACCAAACAAGGTGAAGCCACTGTTTAGAAGCTCTCAGTTGGGAGGAGCTAGAATATTGCTCTCTGTAGGACTTCTGGGCTGATATCCCTTACAGTTCCTACTAGTAGGTTGCCATTCTTGCATCCATTTTATCTCTCTTGTGTGTGCAAGTGTCAGATAAGTCCTCCAGTGATACCGGGTGCTTTGCAGTTAAACTGTCTGCCTCGTTTGCTTTTAAGAGCACTTAAAGGTAAAGGTAAAGGTTCCCTTGCTCGAAAGCCAGTCGAGTCCGACTCTAGGGTTGCGGTGCTCATCTCCGTTTCAAAGCCGCAGAGCCAGTGCTGTCCGAAGACGTTTCCGTGGTCATGTGGCCAGCATGATTAAACACCAAGGCGCACGGAACGCTGTTACCTTCCCACTGAAGTGGTACCTATTTATCTACTTGCAATTTCTTGCTTTCGAACTGCTAGGTTGGCAGGAGCTGGAACTAGAGACGGGAGCTCACTCCGTCATGCGGCAACTCGGGTTTTGAACTGCTGAACTACTGACCTTCCACAGCCTGCAGTTCAGCATCTTAAGCACTTGAGCCACCGCAGCTCAAGAGCACTTGGTGTTACCCAATTAACATCAGCCTGAAGCTGTAACATCTTTCATTTCTGATGTCTTTGGCTGCCTATGCAAGACAAAAGAGGGCCATGTGATTTCCCTCCTATTGCTCCATTGCAACAAGAACACCAGTTGCTTCGTCCGGTCCCCATGGCCTCCCTTGCTCCTAGGGCCCCAGTACTCTTTCATCTGACCCGGTGTCCTCGACTCACCCCGATTAAGTGTCCCAGCGAAACTGAGATGCCAATCATGACAGCGGGAGAACCCGTGCTTCGGAGGCTGTCGGTGGAGGCAAAATAGCAGAGAACCATCTGGAGGGTCAAAACGATCTCTACCGCCACTGCTTGTCCGGGGCTGAGGTTGTTCTGCAGCTGGAATGGAGGAAGAAGAGAAGGCGGAGGGGAAAGGAGCTTTTAAGGACTGCACAACAACTGTGGCTAAAAGCAGTTCCAAGAGAGAGCAAGACTTGCTGTTCAGTCCTGTGCCCGCTTACTCAGAAGGACATTCCCCCCCCTGCCTTCAGGTCTACACCCTTCTCAAAAATCACTCCTTTAAGTCCGGGCACAGTTGGCCCATTAGAAAGTCCTTACTCCTAGCATAACATGGTTAAACTGGATTATAACATGAGTATGCAGGAGCTCATTAGCATAATAGGCCATACCCAACAGCAGGCAAGAAGGGGACAGGAACACAGCTGAGATGTTGTGCAGCTGGCAAGATGTTGTGCAGCATATTAGGCCGCACCCCTGTGTTACCAGAAGTGTGGTCATCCAGCCACACCCACCTTTTGCTTCTTATTCTGTTTACCTTGTTTGTTGTCAAAACCCAGGGCTTTTTTTGTTGCAGGAACTCCTTTGCATGTTAGGCCACACACCCCTAATGTAGCCAATTCTAATGAGTTTATGCTGTTGGGTGTGGCCTATTATGCTAATGAGGTTCCTGCTGGGCGTGGCCAACTCGGGAGCCAGCCGGAACTCCGTTCCTGTGCGTTCCTGCCCAAGAATAGCCCTGAGTATCTCTGAGCATTTTGGTTTCACCGCTAAGACTAAAAAGACCCTAAAACACACACAATCAGTAGCTGCCCAAATTCAATCTTCCTGTTAAGAAACAGCAAGATTGTTATGTATTGCACAGAAAGGATTCAGTGCTCAAACTATGGATGGAAAAATGTGTGTGGGGGGGGCTGAATGAGCTCTGCAAGTTCCACCTCTTGTCTTCCCTCCGTTGTAGCCCCTCCACGGGTCCTCATAAGCCCCACGCCCTGCTCAGTTCCTATAAGGTGTTGCACGGATTATTCATACAGCATACATTTCATTATGGAGAAAAGGAGGTCAATAATTCTCTTCCTTGTTGACCTCGCTATGCTTGTGAGAAGTGGGGCCTAGAAAGGGGAACACACTTTAATGCTGGGTTTACCCGATAGATTTTCCCCAGGGATGTGATGTCAGCGGAGATCTAGAACAAGCTGAGGGGGATGGCTGGATGACCACACTTCTGGTAACACAGGGGTGCGGCCTAATATGCTGCACAACATCTTGCCAGCTGCACAACATCTCAGCTGTGTTCCTGTCCCCTTCTTGCTTGTGGGTGTGGCCAGAGGCATAGCTTTTTGGCGTAAAACCCAAGAGCTTCTGGATCTTAGCCTGTGGCCACTGAATTCAGAACTGCCTAAGAAATGGTTTTGTGATTTTTTTTCTTTGTTTATTAATTGTATTTTGCTTGTCTGTTTAAATTAGGTGCTTTTCTAAGCTGCCTTGGCACCTTACCAGGCAGAAAAGCAGGATGATAAATTACCTAAATAAGCAAGTACAGGGTGGACAGCTCAGGGTGACAGTGATGCATGGTGGATTATCCCTCTAACTAATCCAGCTTCCAATGGCCAGTGAAATCTCTGCACCAGCCTCTTCCCCGCCCACACTGTGACAAAACAACATTCACATGGGGCCTCATTTTGTTCTAGGCTGCAACCTTATTCTCCTTTTACCTGCTCAGCTCCAGCAAGGAATTTTTTCATTGCTTTCATTCCCCATTCTGGAGTGTGACAGGACAAAGAGGCTGTCTAGGCATGCCCCTTGATTAAAGGGCAGAAGTCCTGATTACTTTCAGACTAAACAGACAGAAGGAGCTGCGGTGGCTCAAGTGGTTAAGATGCTGAACTGCAGGCCGTGGAAGGCCAGTAGTTCAGCAGTTCAAGACCCGAGTTGCCGCATGATGGAGTGAGCTCCCGTCTCTAGTTCCAGCTCCTGCCAACCTAGCAGTTCGAAAGCAAGAAATTGCAATTAGATAAATAGGTACCACTTCGGTGGGAAGGTAACAGCGTTCCGTGCGCCTTGGTGTTTAGTCATGACGGCCACATGACCACAGAAACGTCTTCGGACAGCGCTGGCTCTTCAGCTTTGAAACGGAGATGAGCGCCGTAACCCTAGAGTCAGACTCGACTGGCTTTCGAGCAAGGGAACCTTTACCTTTACCTGAACAGACAGAATCCAGGCCTCCTCTGTGTGGTTCCTGACAGCCATTTGACCAACTCCCTCCAGCCCTCAGCTCATGGCCTGAGTCATTTTGGTTCTTCACATTGCCCCCAAACAAAAGGGAAGCTTTAAAGCAGTTAGTGGGACATTTTCTACTTGGTTGGAAAAACCCCTCCATCCATGCATGAAACAGCTGGGGACGCTTTGTTGTGCAAGAGATTCTGATTGACAGGGGAAGAGTATCTGACCACATCAAGTGTGTGGGGAGAGAAAGACGGGCAGTTAGCCAGCCAGCTAAAGAGAGATCCAATCTGGGGTCATATCAGAGTAAACAAAGCAATGCAGAGCTGGAGACCAGTCGGTGCTCCTCAGCCAGGCATGCTGCCACAGAAAGAGATGGCAGAAAGATTCAGCCAAGGAAGGCTCTGGGGGTCTTGAATAGTGGTAGGGAGTAAGGAATGAATCCCTGGGGCCTTCTAACAGTAGCTAAGAGATGGGGTCTACTGCCCCCCTATTTCCCCACAATTCAAGCACTGGTGTGGTTGCTTTAACTGAGAGATCTAGCTAGAGTAACCCAGTGGAACTCTCTCAGTTCTCGGTCTTTAACCACCTAGCTCTTTTAAAGGGTAAGCATATACTGTCTTGGGTTTGGGCTAAGAGGCGTTAACATGGCATGAGATTTGTTAGAATCATCTCAGATGAGAATGCAGTGGCTTATGTAACCAAGATTTGGGGTTTATTAACCATTAATCATCGATGCAATGAACATGAAACTGAGCAAACTTCAGAGGACAGCGGAAGACAGGAGGGCCTGGCGGGATCTAGTCCATGGGGTCGCGAAGAGTCGGACTCGACTGTGCGACTGAACAACAACAACAACAACAAACCCAACACAGAATTGCAGCCACAGAAGTGAAATAATCAAAACACTGATTTAAACTTCATATAATTGCACTGGCTGGCATAATAAGGTAAGTCAGCTATATCTTTTATTGCAACCAAAGAGTCATAGCAAAAAGTATAAGTGTTTTGAGTCAGCAGTCAAAAGTCTGTTGTCTCCTTCCTTTCAGCAGAAGATGCAGTGGGGAATCTTACAGAGCACAGATTCTGCTAACTCCAGACCGAGGGGCTCCACCAACAGGCTTGGCTGTAGAACTATTGGGAACTTGGCTATAAAAATTCAAGGATGGGTGGAGGAGGAAATAACCTGAAGTAAGGTAAACTAGTCTCTGAGCAAGCAGTCCTGAGCACATATACTCAGAAGTAAGTCCTGTGTTATTTAGTGGGGCTTACTCCCAGGAAAGTGTCTGTAGGCTTGCACTGTAGCTCTGTTCCACTGGAATCCTGTTTTGTTTTGCTGTGACAGACTAACCCAGCTACCCTTCTGAAAAGTCTGAGACAGTGTGGTGGTGGTGGATTCCTTAAAATACTGGAATAGGAATGAGGAGATCTGCGTTCAGATCCCCACTCAGCACTGATGCTCACTGGATGACTCTGAATCAGTCTCTCTTTCTCAGCCGAACCCCCCTCACAGGACAAAACTGAGGAAGAGAGGACTATGCAAGCCACTCTGTGCTCTTTTAGGGCTGCCAAGTGGGGGAGGGGAAACCCCCGCTTTGGAGGCCCGATTTCCGCCGTGGCAGAATCGGGCCCCAGGGGGAACTCCGCCCCCCAAAGCTGCGTCACCAGAGGTGATGCAGCCACGTCGCTCACGTTGGGGGCGTGGCCCAGAGCGTCGGGGGGGAAACCATATGGTTCCCCCCCGATGATCTGGGCCACGCCCCCAACATGCTCTACATCCTGCGTCACTTCCTGTGATGTTCTGGCGGCATGCGCACGCGTCCCTCGGCAGTTCCCGGACAGAAGCGACGCTCCCCCGCCGGTGAGTCAGGCCGACTTGGCAACCCTATGCTCTTTGGAGGAAGAGTGAGATAAAATTCCAGTTGATGGAGGAGTTTAACAAGTTATATTCCGAATTCCGTAAACCAGGCAGGCCAAGCTTCTCCAGTGAGTCAACGCCATGCTGTTCTTTGACCTTCTAGGCTGCCCACGGGCATAGAGCAGTACAAGAAAGAGCAATACAAGGAAGGGAGTATGGTGAGGGGGAACAAACTGGAGAACTAGTCTCAGAATATTGTTGAGTAGCTCTTTTTTGTGGCCACCCTGTGTTCTCCCAGAAAAGGCTTCCGTTAACACTGGCATCTGCTGTGTGTTACACTGACTGGGAAAGGAGCATCTTGGCAAATTACCTCTTCACTAAGGCTTACACTCTGGACATTCTCATCAATAACATCACAGAGTGTTCATCCCTTCCCATGTGACTTCAGATGCATTACTATTCTGAGTTTGCAATTCTTGCTGTGAGTGGATCTGTAGGGCTGCTGGAACCCATTGTAGGTCCCCAGATAAAGATTCACTCTGGACCATTCTCACTCAGATTCAGCCCTACCATACTATGAAACCAAATCAGGTGACTTCCTGTTATCATGAATAGGCCTCTGTGCAATGTGCACGGGACTGTCTTTGTATACTTTGGTGAGTCCTCAAGAAGTCCCCCTTGAGGCTGGTGTGGGAGGAACCTCCATTAGGTGTTCTTGATGCTGACTGCAGTGTTCCAAGATGTATATTGCTGCTTTCTCTTCCATGGGAAGCCCAAAAAACCCCAAACCCTTGTTGTTGATGCTACCCGAATTTCCTGTGTGATGGCTACAGAGCAGGACTAAAGAATGGTATGAAGTAGGATAGGTAAGCTCACCCCTACCCATAGGGTTGCCAAGCTGCAGCCAGAAACCAATGGGAGGAAATGGGGAGGGGGCTGGCACATTGGCCTGGCAACAAGAGGGAGACTGAGTGGGGGGGGGGGGGGGGACTCATCCCCTCTGCCATGGCATTGCCAGTGACTTGCTGATGTCACTCCCTGTACACTTGGAGTGATGTCAGTGTATCACTAATGATGCTCTAGTATTTGAGCAAAAGCTCTGTGGTTTTACCATAGAGTTTCTGCAAAATGCTAGAGCGTCCCATGTCACCTCCGATTTAAACCAGAAGTGATGTAGCCTCACCAGCCCCATGCTGGCATACCAGGCCTTTCCACCCCACCAGTTCCTCGAACCAGTGCCTGAGGCACCAGTAGGCATCAAAATTTGAATTAAAAATAAATAATTGAATTAATAAATAATAAATTAAAAGGGAGTTGCCAGGAGGCTTCCCATTATAGCGGGAGGCATGGCACCACTAACTGGTGTGCTTATTTCATGTCTAACATGAATAAAACCACAGAGTTTTTGCAAAATGCTAGAGCCCCACCATGCTACTTCCAGTTTTTGCTGGAAGTGACATAAACACCCTGGCATGACACCAGCGCAGATTCCCCCCCCCCATTTCCTGCAGTGGTGGGCAGCAAGACAGAATGCCAGAATCCCTACCTATGCACCAACCCTTAGAGGATACTATACTGTGAGCCAGGTCTCCTGGACCTACCTTACAAGGTTTATTCACAATAAGAAAGTGACAGGAAGTCCTGGGGCATACATTTCCCCCTGCTTTTGTCTCCCATTACATGCAGCACAAAAGACCTCCTGGTCTAGGACCAGTTTGCTATGACCTTTGAACTGGATCAAGTTCAGAATTCTGTCTTGTAGGCAATGAAGGGTTATTGGGTTAGCAGAGTGCTCGAGGCACATAACACAGCAGAGCCAATTTGGTTTGTGTGTGCTGACAAGAAACAAAGTTACAGACGGAGCCTTTTTATCTTTACAAAAGCTAATATGAGTCCTTTATTGTAAGGAACTCCATTCTAGACAGGATAGAGTAGAGACAGGATTATAATCTAGTCTAACTAGATAGGATGGATAGAGATAGAGAAAGCATGTCCTGCCCTCAAGGTGCCAAGATGGAGAAGTATAGTGTGGAGAGACAGTGTCAGGCTGGAAGGAAGGAAGATTCCTCTGACAGTAGCAGTCCACCTATTAAAAGGGATAGTATCAGAGCAGTAGAAGGGAAGAATGATCAGGGTCGTGGCCTATCTCTCTCTCTAACTCTCTATAGTCCCCCTCTGAAGTCTGAGGCTAAGACAGAGTGCACAGTCCTTCACTTCCAGCACCACCTCTCAATGACTTGTGACTCAGCCTACAAGATTCATCTTCTTTCTTAGAGCTTCAAAGCGGATTCTAGGGAGTAGCTTAGTGAGAACATCTGCAATCACTCCTTCTCTTGGGCAGTAGGTCATCTTGATAACTTCTCTTTGCAGCTTTCTCACTAGGTGATACTTTATGTCAGTATGCTTGGTACACATGTTCACATCTTCTTGTTTAGACACTTGAATGCAGCTTTGGTTATCTTCATGGATTTGTGTGGGTTGTGGTACATCTATACCTAGATCTGTCAGTAGCTAGTAGCCTTGTGCAGCTGATAGGTATTTCTTGGCAGCCTTGTGCAGCTGATATGTATTCAGCTTTAATAGATACTGCAACAATATCTTGCTTCTACCTTGACCAGCTTATAGCTCCCCCTCCATAGAAAAATATGTGGCCACTGGTAGATCTTCTTCTTCCAAGTCTGGCTTAGTGAGATCTGTCAGTAGCTGGCATAGCCACTATATTTCTTGTCAGTTGTTGTACACTTACAACACCTCTGTGATCCTACTAAATAGGGTGTATTGTTCCTGAGAATGTTACTCAAGAATGCCCCATTGAAATCTCTGGCTCAAAGCACAAAGGTCACTGCTGAGGGTGTTTGCTCTTCTGGTTGAAGATATACCGAGGTCAGGGAAGGGGGACATCATTGTCTTAATGAATATACTCAACATTTCAAAATGAACATTACCTGCTGCAGCATGTTAAAGGGCAGGCTGTGGACTGCATGGTGCTTTCATGTTTGTGTTTGTCTGCATTTATGGACACATATACTAGAGTCAAGGAGCTGCGGTGGCTCAAGTGGTTAAGACGCTGAACTGCAGGCTGTGGAAGGTCGGTAGTTCAGCAGTTTGAGACCCGAGTTGCCGCATGACGGAGTGAGCTCCCGTCTCTAGTTCCAGCTCCTGCCAACCTAGCAGTTCGAAAGCAAGAAATTGCAAGTAGATAAATAGGTACCACTTCAGTGGGAAGGTAACAGCATTCCGTGCGCCTTGGTGTTTAGTCATGCCGGCCACATGACCACGGAGACGTCTTCAGACAGCGCTGGCTCTTCAGCTTTGAAACAGAGATGAGCACCGCAACCCTAGAGTCGGACTCGACTGGCTTTTGAGCAAGGGAACCTTTACCTTTTATACTAGAGTCAAAATGAAGCCAGTCTCACTTGGGAATTCCACCTTAAAGAGTCTGGGGTGGAAGATGAAGCCTGACAAATGGCAACTCTACCATTTCACATGATCACTTATTTTTTTAAAAAAGACTCCCTGAACTTTCCCCAAAGGCAAAACAGTAACAGAAAATTATCTGTGTATATGGTTTTGGCATATGAGTTAGTTTTGATTCTGTGGATCACAAAAAGTTATAGTTGGTTTTAAAAGAAATAGGTATGCCACAATATCTGATTGTTCTGATGCACAACCTCTACTCTAGACAAGAAGCTACTGTTAGGACAGAATGTGGAGAAACAGAATGGTTTCCAGTTGGCAAAGGTGTCAGACAAGGATGTAGTTTATCTCCCTGTCTGTTCAATCTATATGCAGCACATAGCATAAGGAAAACTGGATTAGATCTAGATGAAGGTGGCGTGAACATGGGTGGAAGGAACATTAATAGGTTGAGATATACAGATGACACCACATTCCTGGCAGAAAACAGTAAAGACTTGAAAAGACTACTGATAAAGATTAAAGCAGAAAGTGCCAATGCAGGATTACAGCTGAACATCAAGAAGACAAAAGTAACGACTACTCGGGAATTACTCAACTTTTAAGGTTGATGATGAAGAAACAGAAATGGCTTAAAAAATCCTATTCCTTGTCTCAATTATCAACCAAAAGGGTGACTGCAACCAAGAAATCAGAAAGAGACTGAGACTGGGAAAGGCAGCCATGAAGGAGCTGGAAAAGATCCTTAACTGTAGGGATGTATTGCTGGTGACCAAGATCAAAATAATTCATGCTATAGGATTCTCTATTACTATTTATGGGTTTGAAAGTTGGACAATGTAGAAAGCTGAAAGGAAGAAAGTTTATTGGTTTGAAATGTGGTGTTGGAGGAGAGTTTTACAGATACTGCGGATCGCCAAAAAGACAAATAAGTGGGTTCTCGACCAAATCAAGCCTGAGCTCTCCTTAGAAGCTAAAATGACCAAACTGAGCCTATCATGCTTTGGTCCCATTATGAGAAGACAGGAGTCACTGGGGAAGACACGAGTGCTAGGAAAAGTGGAAGGCAGAAGGAAGACCTGAGATGGATCGACTCTTATAAAGGAAGCCACATTCTTCAGTTTGCAAGACCCAAGCAAGGCTATGAATGATAGGATGTTTCGGAGGTCATTAATTCATAGGGTCACCCTAAGCTGGAAGCAACTTGACAGCTATTAATACACACATACAATTTTTATCCTGACCTTCCTCCAAGTTGCTGAGAGCAGAGAGTGCTCACTTCCTCATCAAGGCAGAGTGGGGATTTGAACCCTGGTCTCCCAGATATTATACAATGCTGGCTAATTGGAAAGAATTCCAGAAGGGGGGCTGTATTAGTCTGTAGCAGCAAAATAAAACAGGGGGCCAGCAGCACCTTAAGGACTAACCAAATGTGTTCCAGCATAAACTCTCATGAGCTCACTTCATTACTTCATCAGATGCACAGGAGTGTAAATCCATCAAACTGATGTATACACACACACACACACACATCCCCCTTTCTATTGAGTATATAAATCAGCCCTGATGGATTTCTGTCCAGCACTTCTAATGAAGTCAGCTCTGACTCGCAAAAGATTATGCTGGAATAAATTTAGCCTTTAAGTTGCCTTTTAGCCTCCGGCTCACACATTTCTGTCTTTGCTCAGGAAGGATGGCTCCAAAGCAAACTGATTTACGCAGCAGCCAAATTGCTCGCTCACAACTTTAATGCCCAGTAGCTCACAAAGTAGAATTTTTGCTCACAAGACTCCACAGCTTAGAGGGAACATTGTTTTAGACTCTAAATTCTTTCGATGGTTATATACACTTTAAATGGGAAGCAGAGAACGAACAATTCCAGTCAAATTGTCACATCCTATCCCACCATCTCTACACATAAAAACTACATGGCATAACCTGATTCTAGGCACACTTACTCAGAAGTAAGTACCTTTTTACTCCATAGGCTTATAAGCTACAGTCGGCCTCGGAGGGAGGGGGATGGCTGGACCCATAAGTAAGGGCCCCAGATTTCTGCCCCATAGTCCTGTTCTGACAGCCCCACTGGATCTTTTCTACCAATCACATCCATTCGGAAGTTAGTGGCTTAGGACGTACCGTATTAATGCCTAAATTTCCTCGGATACTCCCAGGAGTCACAGCATAAAGTATGGCTGCCCCGGCGATGCCTCCTGCAAGCTGGGCAACCACATAACAGGCAGCCTTTGCCAGCGAAATGCGAGACCCAAGCAGGAAGGCCACCGTCACCGCTGGGTTGACGTGGGCCCCGCTGGCGTGCCACGCGATCTGGACAGCGGTGGCTGCAGCCAAGTTGAACGTGATGGAGATCTGCAGAATGGAGGGGGTGTTCACTGGCCAGCGCAGCATGGATCCCACACCAAAGAAGACGTAGATAGCAGTGACCAGGAACTCAGTGAAGGCGGCCCGATAAAAGGACACGGCGCACAGTTCCTTCCCCATCTTGGCCAAGAACTCAAGAGTGTGAGGAGAACAGCTCTGACCCCTGCTTCTTGTTCCCTTCCTTGCTGGGCGAGGTCCAAGAAAGCACTATGTAAATTACTTAGATTGCACCATCAGGTCCAGGAAGGGCCAGGAAATGTAGCAACATCACTGCAGTGCTTCCTGCCCACATGGTACTGCCCACATTCCTAAGAGGATGGGAAATCAGAGCCAACAAAATACTACTTTCTGTGTGTCTAGACATGGCAGCAGCAGCAGCAGCAGCAGCAGCAGCTGGCCTCGATGAGACCTAGCTTTGGTGACAGGGGGTGGGACAACTTTTTCTCAAAGAGAGACACGGGGGCTTTCCAAATGGTGACAGGCTTAGTTTCCCCACTCCTGCTGCAGCTGTTGATACAGGAGTGGGGCAACAAGGACTGCACATGGCTGGCTTCCCTGCCCCAGACCCCTGGCAACAGCCAACCCAAACCCCACCCCTCTACCACCAGGGCCTTTTCAGCTTCTTAAAGAGGCAGCAAACGCCAACATTATGACAATCTGTGTATCAGATTCGTTAAATTCCCAGCTTTCATTTAAAAAAAATGAAAGCCCCTATATAAGGGGAATGGCATATGTCTGTAATCAAAGGGGTTAGATATTTGCAGCCTGGGAATTCATAGAAGGTGACATATAGATTATTATAATGTTAAATCACAATAACAATATTCATTTGCGGATTTTATTTAAAAAACTCCCCCAGTGGCGGTGGGGAGGGGAATGGCTGCCCTGTGAACAGGGCGAAGAAAACTTTCCCACCCATATGACAGCCACCCAGGCTTTGTGGTTCTCTTTCCGCAAACTTCACAGCAAAGCAAGTTTGGGAAAGATCAAATAAAGGCAGGGAAGCCCTGGGAGGTGCATGAATGTAGCACAATGCTGTGGGGAAGCAGGACAACGACCACTTCCCAACAGCATTGAACCTGGGGCAAATAACCCATGTCTCAATGGCTGCAGCAGGGGTCGTTTCGTAGAAAAAGAGCTAGGGGAACTCATTAGCATAACTCATTAGCATATGCCACACACCCTGACATCACCGGAAGTGTGTCATAAGGCCACACCCCCTGACATCACCGGAGGTGTGTCATAAGGCCGCACACCCCACCCCCAACGGTCCCGGTCGCCACCGCCGGCCTTGCAGCTCCACTGCCGAGCCCCATGGGGGGCCCGGCGGTGGACCTGCAAGGCCGGTGGGAGTGCAAGGAAGCCCCGCGAAGGCCCTCCCTGGCCCCAAGCAGGCAGGGGTGGGGAGAGGCAGGGAGGAAGCAACTTACCCTCCCTCTTCTCCTGCCTCCTCCTGGCTGAATGAGGGCCGGAAGCAGGGCGGCCAGAAGCAGGGGGCGGGGCTTCATCATGTGCCCCGCCCCCCTGTACCTCACCCGGGGGAACTGCGATCCCCCGCGATCCCCCCCGAAATGACCTCTGGTCTGCGGTAAGGAGGGCTTGTGGGCAGCCTCTCCTGTCTCTTGAGCCATTGATAGAGCTGCCAACCCCCAGGTGGTGGCTGGAGATCTCCCGGAATTACAACTGGTCTCCAGCCGACAAAAATCAGTTGTTCTGGGGGGAAATGGCTGCTTTGGAAGTTTGGTCTCTATGGCTTTTGACCCTACCAAAGTCCCTCCTCCCCACCCACTCCTCCTCAGGCTCCACCCCCAAAATCTTCAGGAACTTTCCAACCCAGAGCTGGCAACCCTGGATTGCATAATTTCTCAAGAACTCTCCAAAGCATGGGTGAGGGGAGAGATGGAAAGTGCCAGCTGATTCTTAGCCTCCCTCTGTTTCAGAAATAACGTCAAACTCGGAACCAGGAAGGATCCGTCCCTTTGTTCCCGCAGATTTTAGAGTGACTCTTCATCACGAAAGAACTTCCTCTTCTGAAATTTCATTTTAAAAGGACTAACACTGGGGCCCTTCCAGCTTTCTATTTCCAGCTCCCCTTGGTCAATCACAAACTTTCACCACACTAGAGCTAAATGTTGACAGTATAGAAACTGATCTTGAGGTTGTCTGAACAGCAACAGCAACAATAGTAACAGTTGTTCAAACTGACTATAGAGTTGCAGCTATGTTGCAGTGGAATGTTTGCAAGAAGTATGGCTTACCATCAGCCAGAAATTCATGGGAGCACAAACTAGACAAGATCATGGGGGATGATGAAACAAAGATTCCTTGGGACTTCTGATTATGAACAGATAAACACCTGGAGCATAACACCCCTGATATCACAATTGTAGAAAAAATGAGAAATAGGGTTTTGAATCATTGACATTGCAATCCCAGGTGACAGCAGAATAGAAAAGAAAGAACAGGAGAAAATCACCAAATACCAAGACCTACGAATAGAGTTAGAGTGCGTCTGAGAGAAGAAGGTTACCATCGTGCCAACTGTCACTGGAGCCCTTGGAGAAGTGCCTAGAAGAAACACCTGGACATTCTGAGCATCGATCTCATTGCCATTTCTGTGTCCCTGATTTCAGCAGCTCAGCTTGTTTGCTTTACAGAAGCAAGAGGATTTCCATCTACAAGGCTAGCGGTTTTCTTATCCACAAGCAAGAAGTTTCTCATGTCTCAGAGCATCTGTTATACAAAAAGGCTCTGAGGCTCCCCCACGCAGTTTGTAGGTGTGTCACTGATAAAGCCAGAATAGTTTATCAAGGAAATACGAAGCATAAAGTGAACTTTGACGCCCTGATAATTTCTTACGCTTGCAAATGATTTAATGAAGTAGTGGAATACCAGGGCTCACATCAGCTATCAATGCCCACTTATACCCAAAACAGTTTTAGCATTTGTACCAGCCAGGTGAGCCTCGGTGTTCCCACCAAGGGCCACAGGCCAAACCTAAGGGATCACAACACACCTGAAATGGCTTCCTGCGGGAGACTTGATTTCTTGAGGGTTTTAAATTGTATATGAGGACACCTCCCTCCCACCCACCCCCAATATCCTCAGTCAATCTACATTTTTCTCACTAAAAGAGAAGTTTCTATTCAGGATCCCAGAAGTAACATCAGATTTCACCGGGGCAACTTTCTCTGGAATGGCTACTTAGTGATCACGTAATGCTGATATTAAAATCAGTGCACTGGCTACCCATTTGATTCCAGGTTCAATTCTAGGTGTTGATGCTTATCTTTACAGCCAATCACAGTCTGTGACATGTATGGCTATAGGACTGCTTCTCGCCTTATGAATATGTCCAGCATCTCCTCTCCCATGGCCAGCTTTTGCTATCAGTCCTGTCTTGTAAACAGGCGCAGCCGGCAAGGGCCCGATCCCACTATTGACCCCCTCTTAGTTACGGCCTTCCCAAACATGGTAGAAAGACTCCTCTTTCCCAGTGTTTCAATGGAACTGCAAGACTCAGCTGTTTAGAAAGGTTTAGTTAAAATGTGTTGTTTTAAAGTGTGTGATGTTTGTGTTTTAATTTCTTACTTTCTGCCTTGGGTCACTCTAATAGGAAGGAAAGCAGACTTTCAGGTATTCAACACCAATATACCAATAATGTCAGCCACCTATCAATTTGGGGCCCAATCTCAGAGTGGGACTACATGGCTACCTCTCTGACACCCACCCCCCGCATGTGCACACATGCTTCTTTTTTTTTTTACTATGCAAAGCAGTGCTGGGCTGAGGGCAAACATTTCAGTATGGAGCAGTTGCCTCAGCAGGGTGTCTATAGGTACCACTGAGCGTGCTCACATGTTTCCCGATGCCTTCTTGCTTCTTCCCCAAAGCATCTGTTCCCTAAAGTAGAGGGCAAATCCACGCTTTTATTCACCACAATGAAACAGGAGGGGTGCTTCAGGAGTTCCTGGAGCAGCCATCTGGTGATTGGCCCTGCCTCCAATGGTAGCCATTTTGTGGTGGAGCCCCCACTTTCCTTCAAAATTCTAACATTTCCCACAAGTTCAGCAAGAATAGAGACCCTAGTAGATAGATATATGCATTCACAGCTTTACTACCTGAAAGATACAGGCTCAAAAAAGGGATAAACCACTCAGGAAGGTTGTGTAGAACTTTCGAATGGATTTCCATTCGTACAGTGATGGCACCCAGCTCTATTTTTCCATTTTGATCCATATATGGCAGTTTCTTCCTTGCCAGGTCTGTAACCAACTAGATGAGAGTGCATAAATTAAATCAGAGTGGGTAAGCAGTCCTAATTCTGATACAGTGATTGAAATGTTTGTCACGATGAATCATTTTGCACTGCCTCAGAAAGAGCAGATTTATGGATAGTTGCCGATTCAACAAACAATGCCCTGGCTGTTGCAGAGCACGCCCTTGTACCTTCCAAGAAGATTAGGCTATTGGAATCTAGTCTGTTTTGAAGACTGATTGGAAGGTGCGATTGGTTCAGATTGTGGCAACCAAGCTGTTTTCTGGTGATTTTCGCATGGATCATATAACATCAATTCTACATGAGTTCCACTGGTTAACAAATTGCTTCCAGGCTGTTTTCAAAACATTAGCTCTAATTTTTAAAGCTTTTTATACTCTGGGTACAGAGTGAGGGAGCTTTTCCCATATGTATTTGTCCACTCTGACGAAGAAGTTTCAGAGTGATCCATCTTATAACAGTTTGGAGACCACTGTGGGATATGGTTGCCAACAGGTCTGGAGAATAATAGATCCTGACCAGTGTTCCCTCTAAGCTGTGTTAGTGTGAGCTAGCTCACAGCTTTTTAGCCTCCGGCTCACACATTTTTGTCTTAGCTCAGGAAGGATGGCTCCAGAGCAAACTAATTTATGCAGTGGACAAATCGCTCACTCACAACTTTCATGCCAGTAGCTCACAAAGTAGAATTTCTGCTCACAAGACTCCACAGCTTAGAGGGAGCATTGATCCTGACCCTTTAATAGAGGTTTAATTTAGGGGAAATGGATAGCCAAAGCTTTTCATGGCATGAAGGAAAATAACATCCCATTAAGCCTCCAGTAAAGGAATAGGGCATTTTTCTCCAG